AGCCATGCGAAATGAGCCAAGTGATTCATACCATCACAAAATCTGATGATCTGATCTGGTATCTAGAGGTAGAGACACGGTATCTAGAAAACAGAGATAAGCATCAGCCAGGAACTATCTGCCTGCTGGCAGAAGAACGGCAGGATGAGGGCAGAGGGTGTGCCAGGAGAGGGGTGACGGCAGTGGGAGACGCAGCCCATGATTCGGGCTGACTTCAGAAATGGCTCTGCTGCGCCTGGATCTAGCCTACCCCTCTGCGGCATGGACACAGGGTCGAAATCAACCCTCAACATCTGAACTGTAGGAGGGCTTGAAATGTTATCTGGCTCCACAGTTTGCTGTGGGTTTTATCTTTCCAAACAGCTGGATAAAAACTTTGGATGTCCAAAACAGGCCAAGCTTGGAGCATGAGAAAGCAGGTCTCTGCCTGTGGGCCCGATCTCCTCCCTTTCCCTCCTTTGATCAAAAACGTCGTATCCGAAAATCGTTGAGCCGAACCAGAGCAAATTTCACGTCTGAAGGCTGGGCCAAGCATTCTTGCTGAGAGAAGCTATTTCCGTACACCGAAACACCGTCGGATCCAGGGCTTGCCTCAACCTTGCTTACCCTGGAACAAAAGATCTGCTCCCATGACAGTCAGGTGCACGCATGAATCCCTGTGTGTGAAAACATGCTCAGCCGGTCTGGGTGCAAGAGCAGACAGGTTTGACTGGAAGGGCCCCTTGTGCAGAAACAACCTGTGCATCAAAGGCAGATGGGCTGCGCTCCACCAGCAGCGATTCACCTCTGTACGAACAGAGCCCTGATTTTGCAGCACTGACGGCCACAACTGGCATCCAGCCTCAGGCACCAGCAAAACTCCTTGTTTGCATACATAGATCTGATTTTCTTTTTTTAATCCAACTCCCTTCTCACCGTGATAGCAGCAGATAGCTGCAGAGTGATGTGAAAACTGCCTCGCCACCTGACCTAGCCAGCCACAAAGTCCTGTGGCAATTTGATGTCGCTGTGGCTGTGCATTTGCGATAGGGAGCTCACCCAGGGGCTGAGCAGGGTGGAGGGGACAGCGGGCAGCATGGGGCACCCCAGCTCGTGGCTGCCTGGCGAGAGCCCTCGGCACAGATGCTGCTCGGCACCCACCTGCCTTTGGTCTCCTGCACTTGCTTTTTTTTTTCTCTTTCACTTCCTTCCTGCCACTTCAGAACCGATCATAATTGCTCTGCCCCATCGCTGTGCTCCTTGTTTGCTCTGCTCCAGCCAGGCACCACATGGGTGTCCTCTGTCACTGCAGTTCGGCTGCCTCCACCTAGCCCTGCGCTGATTAAGCGCATGTTGTTGTTGCTGTTCGCTCAAGCAGGCTCCACTTTGTTGGCCTGCCAGTGCTTTCACTTCTCTCTCTGAGCTGATGGGTTTCTTTGAAAAGCATGTTTAATCTCTGTTGTCTCCTTCCCGGTGTTGCAGATTCCTTTCTTCAGCACCTTCTGGAGCGCTGTCTGGCACCTGCAGAGCCCCTTCTGCATTGTCCTCATGCTCCGGCATAAATCCCGCGTTTGCTGTCCTGCATCGGCATGATGCTGCCTCTCATAGTACGGCCTTTCGCCACGGCTCAGCTTCCCACACGCCGCCTCCTCGGAGCTCATCCATCCCCCAGCATCTAACTCCTGCTGCATGCTCTGCTCCTCCTGAAAAGTCTCCGCAGATGGGAAAGGGTGCCACACTGCAATAACGGCGGTGAGCATGGGACCTAGTCCCTGCAGCACCTTCTCCCATCTGCTCCTTCACCAGTTTTACTGCCCTTTACTTGCCAAAGAGCCTGCTAAGCCCTGCCAAAGTGCGGTCCTGCTGAGCACAGGACAGCCACCTGCAAAACAGTCCTGTGCCTGCAAATCCCAGCGTGAGAAGGACGCGACAGACACTGCGGTGGAGGGAGGGGAAGCCGAGGAGGAAATGACTCTGCTAAAACCATCCATCAGCTCCGTGGCACAGCCAGAAATAGGACCTGGCGCTGCTGATGCTTAGCTCCGTGCTATAACGTTACAGCATATTTTCTTATACAAATGCCTCCGTAGCCTTTTCTCCCTCTCCCCGGCGTGACCCGCACATCCTGAGGAGGCCACGCATTGTGTGCCATCGGTTCACACTTCCCCGGCGCAATCAAGCTCCGGGCGCTTCGCTGCCGTTATCACCGCCTGTACTGCTTCCCCTTTGACACATCTCCAAGTCCTACTCTTTCACCCGTACATCTGTATTCCTGTTTTCTTGCAAGGCACTGGGTGCTAAGAGGCAAGTAAACACTTTACTCAGCCCAATACTTTCTTAGATTTGGCTTCATCATGCCTTAGGAATTTCTGCATGTGAAACAGTTCACGCGGGGTGAATTCCTGCTAGACGTAGGCAGACACGGCAGGGTTTTCTTCAACGCCCATGTTAGTTAGATCGAGGAAGGACGTTCTGGAGGTAAGCTGTGGGTCAAAAGAGACTGACTACAGGCATTGCCCCGAAACAGGTATCCCCAGAGCTTTCTGCCACGCTGAGGGCTACCTTCTGCCACTCGGGCAATCCTCGAACGCTTGGTGAGAGAGCCAATCACATACGACATTACGAAACTCCCTTCGCATTTAGGACAGGTGCAGCTTCACCAAGTTTTTCCATGCATAAATCTATATTAATAATAATTACGATAATAGCAAGTGCTAGCTGAGTTCTGCCTGCTTAGTTTCCACCTGCTATATATTTTGAGTTTGATGTGGTATTCACTTCCAGTCGTGCGTTCTTGCAAATTATTTCTGTGCCGTGTTATCTTGCCAACGTGGTTCATCCGAGGAGCAGCAGAAACGCAGTCCTCACCTAGTATGTCACTGCCGAGAAGTTAATTTTCTTCTCAGCTACTGTAGGGGGGAATAAAAAAAAATAAAAACAAGCCTGGCTTTTAACTATAACCTACGCACGTGTGTCTATGCAAATACATGCCATTGGGTTTTGTTTTTTTTTTTTATTTTCCCCTTGCACCTACATCTTTGCCACCCATCAGGCTGCAAGCGTTGTGTTCAGCTGCAAAGTTTCTGTTCTGCAGGGAGAAGGCATTTGAGCACACTGAATCGGGGGGAACGGAGCACGAGAACAGAGGCACCAAGAGGGGAGACAGGTCACGATCTGTCGAACATCACACACCCATGAAGCGTGCTCCAGCACGCGTTGCACAGACAGCCAAGTCCAACGCTGCCACTGCAGGAGGGCCGCCACGGCGCAGGGAGTACGTGGGGCTGAAGAAACCAGCTTCTGGCGCTACCTTGCCTTAGCTGATGTCACCTGCTTTGCCTATATAAATTGTCTATAGAATTGTCTATGCAATATAAATTGTCTGTATAAACGTCTCTATGTAAATTGTAAGCCCTCCTAGGCAGGGACTGTCTGTAACAGCTTTGACAGACACCTAGCACAACGCAACCTGGCTGAAATGAATAAAAAATTAAAATATATCTGTATCATAAAATATATCCCTAGCTTTAACCTTTTTTACAGATATATTTTAAGCTTATAATACTGACAAATAAAAAGGGATGGGATCAAAATTGACCATACCTAAGAGCATTTCAATCCAAATCTGTGAGTGTGCTCCTCATACCCATCACCATCTGGGCGGACCTTGGCAGGTGCCTTCTTGCCCGACCATCTAAAGTGGCGTCGGGTCCCCCACTAGCGCTGTTCCTTTTTTATCTGGAGCTGGTCTGAATAACGCTGCCTTCATGTGCCAGCAAATCCCGAACAGTGGCCCTGGCTTGCACTGCTGAGCAAGGGGCACGTTTCTTGTCCCAAGGGAGAGGAGAAACACGGCAGCTGCACCATGGAGAGCCACCACAATGCACGACACGAGTTACACCGAGGTATTTAGTTGTGTTATGAGCTTTTATTTAAAAAGCACATTTATACAGCAATAATTTCGCAGATACAAACTTTAATTTTGTATTCTACAAAAGTCTTTGAATATTCTTCTCTTTACAAAATGGAACATTACAAAAATACAGACAATTTAATATGATTTTTTTATACAAATGTCTCTAATTGTAGTTATTTTCATTAAAATATTACTACCACAGAACTACAATATTTTAGTTGACTATAAAAAAATTAATTCAATGCTTTTTTAAGCAGCAAAATGTAAATAACACAGGTCAGGACACAGTTTATAGTCATAGTGGATATATCTAAAATTGTTTCAGAAATAATATTTTACATAGTTAATTTTTAAGGTTTTATACATTATTTATATAATATTTAT